CACATGCAGGGCGATTCGCGCCCAATGGGAGCGCCAGTCACAAGCCCCAGCAGATGCTCAGGTAAACAAAGTGTCTCACAGCCAGCTAGCAGCTTGCCCTTACAAGCCGCAACCCAGAGTTTGAAACCCCCTGTCTTAGGCTATGACTACACTACAAGCTTTTGCGGCAGAAAATATGCTAATGAGGGACTCATTAGCATGAATCGCGATGTCATTAGCATATTTTCTGCCGATTCTTTTTGTGCAAGGGGTTTTTGCACAAAAAGAAGCCGTGTAGCCGTTTCTGTTTTGCGCCAAAAAAACCCCTTTTTCTTCAAGATCCTTATGCCACTCCAGGATAAGCTCCGGCTCCCAAGTGTCGACATACTCAGAGCGCGGGCGGGTAGCAAGGTTTGCATTCAGGGATCATCCTAAAGCGTGGCCATCCCCCAGCTGGGGGAAAAGACACAAAGGCCGAAAGAGAGAGGGACAGAGATGGGAAGTGACCGGGGCATCACATAATAGTCCTCTCCCCAAAGGCCAGCTGTAATGTTCAAAGCCGTACAGCCTCTCCTAAAACCACCAATACCCCATCTCCTGCCAAGCCAGCCTGGCACCAGCACACAGGGCAGGAAGAAGTAAGAACATCCACCACCGTGCCATTTTTAGCATCTGAAACCTGATCTAGAGGCTAGAATAGGGAACTGGGAGCACGGTGACCCAGGTTCTAATCTCAGTTCTGCTGCCAATATCGTGTGCGGCTCTGGGCAAGGGGTTTGCCTGCTCAGTGCCTCAGTTTCCCCTTCACAACAGGGAGGATGCTAGGAATGCTGGCAAAGACAGAAGCTCAAATGCACTTGACATGCCAGGTTTTCACTCCTGTTATCCACACATCAGCAGCCTGGCAAACCCCATAGGAGCCTTTTCCCTCCCCTGATGGCCGCTGGCTTCTTTCACTCCACAGAGAAAGAATCCACGTGGTCATGCGAGAGGAACCGCATAAGCCAGGCCCTGTTCTGAGCACCAGCGGGCTGCTTCTCTGCTCCTAGACACCCAGCCAAGATGGATTGGGGCCCCCCATGCTAGGTGCTGTACAGGCGGATGCTTCCCTAAAACAGCATGCCATGTAAACAAACAAGGCCTTGTGTGAGAGGAAGAAAAGTCATTCGCCCTGTACAAACGGGGGTGGGGACAAAGCCCCAGAGCAATGAAGTGATTTCAGGGCCAGTGCTCCAGTGCTATGAACACAGACCCTCCTCCCTCTGTCATCCAACAGCACAGACTAGCCAGGTTTCTTACACCCCAGGAGCTACCCTGCACTGTAGCCCATCTCCCGGTGCATAGCCCCGCCCCTTTTGCCAGAGGCCACGCCCCCTGGAGCCAAACTCCACCCACTCCAACACAATCCTTACTGGCCACCCAGAGGGCCGGGGCTGCTGTGCTATGGCCCTAACCCCAGCCCTCCCTGGTGGCCGGAGGGAGCCGGGTTGTCACACCCCATCCCTAGCCTTTCCCTGCGACCGGGGAGCCGATCCCTCCGTGGTGGCTGAGAGCCAAGCGGCATCACTTCGCAGCGAGGAGTGAAGCATTGAGCCGGCTATTCTTTACCTTGCTTGCACCACTTCCCCTTTCGCTGGCAAGCCAACAGACCTGCCCCCCACACCACACCCCCAAACGCGCCAGCTCCTCTCACTCTCGCTGCGGGTGCAGGGGGAGGAAGAGAAAGTGACAATGCAGCTGCATCGCCCTAGCAAAGGCTCCCGTAGCGGGGCTGGGGCCGGAGTCTCGCAGGGCCGGGAGACAGGACTCCTGGGTCTACCCTAGCTCTGCCGGAGTCATGCTGGGAGCGCCTAGCCAAGCCGTGGTGGGCCCCCGGCGTGCCACGTGTAGAATGGGGAAACACTACACCTGCCCCTCTGGGGGGCTGTGAAGTGAAATACTTCAATGCTGCGTTGGAAGGACGGGACAGACACTGCGTAAGCCGGTGGCGAGAGCCCTGGATTGGGTTCTACTCCTGCCACTCTGCGGAGAGAGACCTCAGCCAAGTCAGTCCCTCCGTGCCTCAGTTTCCCTGGGTACAGAATGGGGATACCAGCACTGTCCTATCTCCTGGGGGCACTGCGAGTCCATTCACAACGGCAAGGAGCTTTGATCTTCTGGCCAGAGAAAGACCTGGGTAGGAAGAGCCACACCGAGGGTGGGGAATTGCAGAGAATGATTTTCCCCTCAGCATTCTGCCTTCATTCCCCTCCAGCCGCCCTCCTCTCACCCTTCCCGGGCTCCTCCACCCCCCGCGCTTCCTCTGTCACTCCCCCTTCCTGAGCCGCTGGCCCCTATGAAACATAAGCAAGGACTAGGCCCCTCACCAAGAGACGAGGCGGCTGAGAATTAAGCTGCCCCCCCTCCCTTTGCACCGGCCTTGCATGCACCTCACCCCAAGCAGAACGGAGCCACCCCCCAGCACTAGCACCTGCCCCCCACGTAGCCCCAGGCCCACCCCCTCGCCCTACTTCAAAAGGCCAGGGCGGCGAGATAGTGGGCAGATAAACTAACGGCTCCACGCAGCCTGGCGTTGCCAAGGCCGGCAACCGTTGAAGGAACACGATGGTCTCACCACAACAGAAAGGAAAACCGCCAGCCTGTGCTCTGAAAGGGGAAGGGGAGGCCAGGGCGGAGGGCTACCGACCACAGGCAGGAACTAGCCTGGCGCATCTTGATCTGAAACTAGGCTCGAGGGAGACGAGAACCGTACCCCGAATCCAACACGCCGGGGGGGGAACGCCAAGGTGCCCTCACTCCTACACCCTCCTCTAGCCACGGCAGCAACGCAAGGTCCCCTCCACCTCAGGGCCGGAGAGCAATGGGAACGCACAGGAAGCTTGTGGGGTGTTTGGGGGGCAGGACGCAGAGGAAAGCAGCAGGACTCGTGAGGCTCTCGTCTCCCGGTTAAAGTCTCCAGCGGAAGTCCTGCTGATCACGGGATGCTGGCCCCGGGATGCCCTGCGGGGTGTTTAGCAGCCCCCGCGGCCATGGGCCAGGGCACTTCATTGAAATCTCCACGCCGGGGCCTGGGACACCGCAGGCCGCCTCCAGAACTTGTCCGAAGGCAGCTGCCGAAGGGCCGCGGCTGCTCGGAGGGGAGGGGAGTAGCGAGTCTCTTTTCCGAGCTTAAACACGGCCATCGCAAGTGATGGTGGATTGGTTTCCATGGAAACAGCTCTGGGGCTAGCCACTACAACCAGCGGCTGTCATGGCTACAGGGACCTCCCCAGCACATTGCTCGGCCTGGGGTCCCCCAAAGCCTGGCGGGGGGAGCACGGAAGCAGGGGGCACTGGCTTTGTGTGGGAGAGAAACACGCTCGCTCCCTATTTCACCCTCAGACCAAGCCTGTTTCCTTCTGCTCCCCTGGTGCGGGCTTCCCCTCCACCCCGAGGGGCGTAGGTATTAGCCCGCACCCCTTCCTCCCTGCCACTCTGCCACGCCAATCCCTCTTCCCTGCTGAAAACCCCACACGCCCTCAGCTCAGCCTCGCAGCTCCCCCTCTGCCTCTCCAGCCTCGGCCCCGAACGCCTGCACGTACTCGCCCTGCGCCCCTGTTCCCTGACTGTTATACCGTAAGCCATGCTCACTCAGCAAGGCCCTGGGGTCTGTATACCCAGCTGGCTCTCTGAAAGGGGAATCCCCCTCGGTCCCTAGGGGGACGGGTCCTCCATGTCCTTTTCCACTGCGAATAACTGGAAGGGAGGCCGATTTTTGTGGCCAAAGCCCCGCCCTGGCTGACAGGAATTTTGGATTTCCTCCCAGCTCTACTGGCCAGTCTTCCAGCCTGACCCTCTGGCAGACCCTCTCTGTGTCTCAGAAATCAGAAAACAAGAGTCATCGTTTATGAGATGACAAAATCCTGCGGCCCTGCCCCGCACGCTTGCCTCTGGAGCAGTGTGTCTTAAACTTTTTAAGACTGAGGAACACCAAACAATCTATTTTTTTTTTTTTAATGGGGAACACCAAGAATTTTTTTGTTGAGGAAAAAAAAGGCTTGCCCCTTTAAGGGTGGCCATTACAAAAAAAAAAAAAAAAAAAAAAAGCCTCCAGGGAAAAGTTGTTGAGAAAAAAAAAGGAGGCGTGTCCCTTTAAGGGTGGTCATTTTGAATTCGATTCTCTCCGCGGCACACCTTCAACTGCCTTGCGGCACACCGGCGTGCCACAGAACACACTTTAAGAAACGCTGCTCTGGAGGGTTCGGGAAGTACGACCCGGTGCTCCGAGGCGTTTGAGTGCAAAGCAGCAATGACTGGTCTCGTCCGCCTACCTGCAGATGATGATAAAAAACTTGACGTGCAGGAGCGCCTGGCCAAGGCCCGCCTCAGCCGCCTCCTCCCGGGCAATTTGGGCCATGTAGTGCGCCAGCTGTTGGCTCAGCACGTGCAGGACGTCGCGTGGGAGCAGCGGGATCTCGGAGACTGAATCTTCCGGCCTGCAGGGAGGAGAACAATTAATCTAACAGTTGCCCCCCCCAGATGGAGTGGCCCCCCACCCCTGTTTAATCGGTTCACCAGTTAAACATAATGTTTAATGAGTTAACTAAATAACCGGGGTTTGACATCCCTACCATGTGCATTGGGCTGTCAAAGTGGTGTTTCCAGGGCCCCAACGGGACAAGACGGCAAGGAGGACTGAAGATTCAACTGAAGCAACCAATTCTTTAGCTGCTACCCAAAACCAAACTCAGCTAAACACAAAACCGGCCCCGGACGGTCTGTACAAATGAGACACAAAGCAGGTCACCAACTGGGGCAGACCAGGCCGTGGCCGTAAGAAATGTCCAGTTTTGTCCGTCATATGAGGATAAGCAAATACCTTGGCCATGGTCACCACCAGTTCACTGATGCTCCCAGTACTTAGCATGTGGATAAATCTCTGTAACTTTTCCATATAGCCATGTATCATTCTCATATAACTTTGTATTAAGAGAAACTTTGTAAGTCGTTTTACATATATAGATCTTGTCCTTTTAGATATATTTTTTCCTGCTTATAGAATCCCTTGTATTAAGAGAAACCTTGTATCCCGTGTGTTATAGGTCTTAGGAATAGTTAAGGTAAAGAAAAATGTCTTCTCCTGTTGAAATGAATGAGGTGTGAATGGAGACTGAAAGGTGAGCACCTCCAGCAGCAGTTGCAAGGATGGAGAGAGGCTGGGAGCCAGATCCAAGGACAATACCTATGAAGTGAGCTCATTGAAGACTGGACATACAGACAGCCTTGGGAGTCAAGCAGCAAGTGCCTGCCCTTGGAAGGACCCTCTCTGAAGCAGCATTAAAGAAGGCGAGGGGATGACTAATTGGCTGCATGAGAGGGATAAATATGAGGCATCTTGCAGAGGGACCCCGGGTTTTCGTCTTGTCAACATCGGAGCATCGATCCGGATCGGCAGAAGCCCGGCTCCACCCCTCCCCATTTAACTCACCTGGCCAGTGCAGTTAGGGGGAGCCACTATTGGTAACAACAAGCTGGGGGTGGAGGTGGGGGCAAGGGGGAGAGAGAGAGAGAGAGAGAGAGTGTGTGTGTGTAATGTACCATCTCGCCAAGCCGTGGGGAGCCGTGGGGAGCCCTGCTCACCAGCCGCGCTCTTCGACGTTCTGCGCATGCACAGATTGCTGGAACCCGGCTCTTCTGGGTTGTAATCTACTCGCCACGGGTGAGTAGATTACAAAGATTATCGAGCCCTGCATATGCATATGATAAAGTATTGATTGATCTATGTACGTTGTTTCTATTTGACAGTAAAAACAGCCCTACCGACTCACCCCAAAGGCCTGTTTGGTTCGTGATCCTGTCTGCGGACAGTGGCCAATGCCAGCTGCCCCAGACAGAGTGAACCGAACAGGGAATCATCGTGTGAGCCAACAATCCAGTGGTGCCCATTCCCTGCTTCTGACAAACAGAGGCTGGGGAAACCATCCCTACCCATCCTGGCAAGTAGCCATTGATAGACTGACCCTCCATGAATGGATCTAGCTCTTCCTTGAACCTTGTTGTAGTCTTGGCCTTCACAACATTTTCTACCAAAGAGTTTCATAGGTTAACTGAGCGTTGTATGAAGAAATATTTCCTGGTGTTTTAGACCTGCTGCCTATTCATTTCATGGGGCGACTCCTAGTTCTTGTGTTACGAGAAGGAGTTAATAGCATTTCCTTGTTTACTTTCTCAACGGTCATGGTTTTATAGACCTCTGTCATATCCTCCCTTAGTCATCTCTTTTCCAAGCTGAAAAGCCACAGTCTTACCAGTCTCTCCTCATACGGCAGCTGTTCTATACCTCTGATCACTTCGGTTGCCCTTGTCTGTTCCACTTCGGTTGCCCTTGTCTGTTCCTTTTCCAGTTCCACTCTCTCTCTTTTTTGGCTGGCTACAACCACAGTGCATGAGGCCAGGGTCTGGGCAGTGCTACGGTCCTAGGTGTCTCACATTGGGTGCCATGGGAGGCATATAAGAACATAAGAACATAAGAACGGCCGTACTGGGTCAGACCAAAGGTCCATCTAGCCCAGTAGCCTGTCTGCCGACAGTGGCCAGCACCAGGTGCCCCAGAGAGGGTGGACTGAAGACAATGACCAAGCAATTTGTCTCCTGCCATCCCTCTCCAGCCTCTGACAAACAGAGGCCAAGGACACCATTTTATCCCCTGGCTAATAGCCTTTTATGGACCTAACCTCCATGAAATTATCTAGCTTCTCTTTAAACTCTGTTATAGTTCTAGCTTTCACAGCCTCCTCTGGCAAGGAGTTCCACAGGTTGACTACACGCTGTGTGAAGAAGAACTTTCTTTTATTAGTTTTAAACCTGCTACCCATTCTGCACTAGCAGAACAGGGGCAGTAAGCAAGTGTCAGGGCTGTTCCCCACTCTGGCATGATGAATACAGAAGTTGGGGGCTCGCAAGAGCACTCCAAACTCTTGCCTCCACAGGCTCTGGCTACAAAAACTCCACCCCCCCCAAAAAAATCCTAATACTCAGATTTTGGGGAATCTGCTGCTACCATCAAGTGCTTTTTAACCCACAAACGGGTGGACACTTGAAACCAACCCCAGGGTACCCCAACGTCTTTTTCCCCAAAAGAGCTTGAAAAAGAAAAGAGAAAAACAAGCTGCAGTTTGTGGTCGTCGACCCCTCAGTCAGGCATGCAGATACACACAGACAGACCTTCCAGAACACAACAATCAACCAATCCCGGTTAATTAGAAAAAAAGAAAACAATCCTTTATTATCAACACAAAACTAAAGTTGCAAGCTTAGTAAAGTGGCTAGATGGAAAGAGCCATCATTTGATTAGGGGGCTGGAGCATATGACTGATGAGGAGAGGCTGAGGGAATTGGGTCTGTTTAGTCTGCAGAAGCGAAGAGCGAGGGGGGATTTGAGAGCAGCCTTCAACTTCCTGAAGGGAGGTTCCAAAGAGGATGGAGAGAGGCTGTTTTCAGTAGTGACGGATGGCAGAACAAGGAGCAATGGTCTCAAGTTGTGGTGGGAGAGGTCCAGGGTGGATATTAGGAAAAACTATTTCACTAGGAGGGGAGTGAAGCACTGGAATGGGTTACCTAGGGAGGGGGAGGAATCTCCATCCCTAGAGGTGTTTAAGTCTTGGCTTGACAAAGCCCTGGCCGGGTTGATTGAGTTGGGATTGGTCCTGCCTAGAGCAGGGGGCTGGACTTGATGACCTTCTGAGGTCTCTTCCAGCTCTATGGTTCTATGATTCTATGATCTAGATCCTCAGGGAAAATCCCTGGGCTGAAGACTTAGTTACAAAAGAAAAAAAAACCACTTAACCAGCTCAGACATTATTTCCACATCCCCAAGCAAGGAAAACAATCAATCCTGATGGACTAGCTAAACTTTTCCCTACTTACACCTTGTAAGAAGTCCATTCTTGGAAAGGGAAGTGTCTCCCGTCTCCCTCAGTACTAGAAAGACACTGCTCTGCCTCTCAGACAAAGAACAGAGAGAGGAAAACCCCTCTCTTCCAGTTTGAAATTCCTACCTGCATTGTTATTGGCTGACCACCCCATACCTGGCCAGATACAGGAGGCATTAGTTAACCCCTTAGTCACCGGGTGCTGGTCAGCACGCGCAACTATGACAGCAAGTCGCCCAGCCTATAAGTGGCATGCCCAGTTGCTTTCCATAAGCTTCGCTGGATGTTGCATCAAGCTCCCCATCTCTCTAGCTACTCCTTGCCGCAGTGGTGCTGTGCACACCCTTTGCTCCATCGCACCCACAGCAGCCACGGCCCAGAGCCATTCCAGAACATACGGCATAACCGGGGCCAGATCTCCCTGTCCACGCCCAGGCAGGCCTGCAGGGGAGATCTACGCAGGGGAGTCCCCATTTAACATCCGGAAGGGGCAGCCAGACTCAGCTGTCCTGTGGATGCCAGCGCATCCCTTCCTTTGCTTGGCAAGAGAGGTCAGAGAGATGTCCAGGATCCTTCCTGGATGCAAGCCGTAGCAGCCCCCTCCTCTCTGGCGACAATGCATACCAGGATCAAAGCTACAGAACAACCAGGAGGCATCCCCCTCTGGCCAGATTGGCCTGTCAGTTCATGCCGATTCATGCTCCCATCGCCGTTTACCATCCCCGCCACTACCCATGTAGGCAGTACCACCTGCTAGTCTGGCTTACCCCTCCGTGGCCTGGAGCACCCTTTGCCACACAACAGCATGACCACAAGGTTACTATAGGATGGTAAAGCTTCTGAAGGTAGCTACCTGGAGCAATATAGGCTCAATAACAGATGTGCAGCTGCATCCAGCTCGGTGAGGTAAATCCATCTGCCCGATGCAGGACGAAGCAGAATTTTGCTTCAAGCCTTCATGGCTACGAGCTACCCTGGCCAACGAACTGCCGGGGTAATGCCAGTCTTAATCTGCAGAGAGCCTGAACCGATAGGTTGGAGAAGTGTGAACCGGCCCATTCGTCTCCATCATGGCTCTGTGGACGCCTGCGATTCTGCAGCCCCAAACCACATGCCACCTTGAAGGCTCCCTCCCCTTCAAGGCGGGGGGAATCTGTCTGCTGCAGGTCTGCCTGGGGGCATGGAAAGGTGGGGGACAGGAAGACCTGGCTGCATAGCCATGGTTATGCGGCGCACTTCTGTAATTGTAGACCATGTTGTTGCAGAGACCGTAAGCCCCCATTCCGCTTGGATGATCAATGTTTAGGCAGATGACTATTTGCAAGTCCTGAGCTGGAGGATGGGGGATAGGAATGGAGGATAGATTGAGACGATCAGCAACGCGCGATATAGGAACATCACCTAGAAACATCATCGGCATGGCCTGGGACTATATGGAATGAGCTTCCACCCTTTGAGGGGCCATAGTAGGATACATCCTCGACAGGCATGATACAGGAAATTAACCACCCGGAGATCATCTACGCAGCGTGTGCTTGCCTGTGCACCCTCTAATGGAGGGGCAG